TTCAAATGAGGAAATACCATGGTTGAACATGTCCAATGGTATAACTACCTGGGACTAAAAATCTGTGCCTCTGGTGGATTTGGTCTGGCAGTGAATGCACTAAAAGAAAAAGCCTGCAAAGCATTTTACTCCATAAAAAGACAATTCTGGTGCAAAATATTAAAGTGTAATTTTACCAATTGCGAGCAAGAGGAGAGAGCGAGCGAGCGAGAGGAGAGAGCGAGCGAGAGGAGAGAGCGAGCGAGCGAGAGGAGAGAGCGAGAAAGAGGAGAGAGATAGAGAGAGAGCAAGAGGAGAGAGAGCGAGAGAGAGCAGAGAGCGAGAGGAGAGAGCAAGTGGAGAGCGAGAGAGCGCGAGCGAGAGAGCGAGATGAGAGAGAGGAGAGAGCGAGATGAGAGAGAGGAGAGAGCGAGATGAGAGAGGAGAGAGTGAGAGGAGAGAGAGAGAGAGTGGAGAGGAGCGAGAGAGCAAGAGAGAGAGCGAGAGGAGAGAGAGCAAGAGCGAGCAAGAGGAGAAGCGAGAGATGAGGAAGCGAGCGAGAAGAGAGAGAGAGCAAGGAGCGAGAGGAGAGAGAGAGCAAGGAGCGAGAGGAGAGAACAAGGAGTGAGAGAGCGAGAGGAGAGCGAGAGGAGAGAGAGAGCGAGAGAAGAAGAGAGCGAGCGAGAGGAGAGAGCAAAAATACTCAAAAATAAATATCCATCCAAATTGGGGCAGAGAGAGAGGAGACGAGAGAGAGAGAGAGAGAGCGAGGAGCGAGAGAGAGAGAGAGAGCGAGAGAGAGAGCGAGCGAGAGGAGAGAGAACGAGAGAAGAGAGCGAGAGAGAGAAGAGAGCGAGAGAGAGAAGAGAGAGGCGAGAGCGATGAGAGAGAACGAACGAGAGGAGAGAGAGCAAGAGCGAGCGAGGAGAGAGTGAGCGAGAGAGAGAGAGAGAGAGGAGAGTGAGCGAGCAAGAGGAGAAGTGAAGCGAGCAGAGAGAGAGGAGCGAGAGAGTGGAGAGAACGAGCAAGAGGAGAGAACGAGCGAGAGGAGAGCACGAGCAGCGAGAGAGGAGGAGAGAGAGGAGAGGGAGTAGGAGAAGAGGGAGTGACGAGAAGAGAGAGGCGCGAGAGGAGAGAAGAGAGGGAGAAGAAGAGCGAGAGGAGAGTGGCGAGGGGAAAGGAGGGCGCGAGACGAGAGGAGGGAGCGGAGAGAGGCCCGAGGGCAAGAGAGCGAGAGATGAGAGAGAGCGCAAGATGAGAGAGAGCGCAAGATGAGACAGAGGAGAGAGAGGAGAGAACAGAGAGCGAGAGAGGAGAGAGAGCAAGGATCGAGAGGAGAGAGCGTGAGAGGAGAGAGCGCGAGAGGAGAGAGCGAGCGGAGAGCACGAGAGCGAGGGCGAGAGAGAGCGCGAGAGAGCGAGTGGAAAAGAGAGCGAGCGAGAGAGAGAGCGAGAGATGAGAGAGAGCGCAAGATGAGAGAGAGGAGAGAGCGAGATGAGAGAGAGGAGAGAGCGAGCGAGAGAGAGGGAGATGAGAGGAGAGAGCGTGAGAGGAGAGAGCGAGCGAGCGAGAGCGCAAGATGAGATAGTGCGAGATGAGAGAGCGAAATGAGAGAGCGCGAGATGAGAGCGAGCGCGAGAGGAGAGCGAGCGCGAGAGGAGAGCGAGCGAGAGGAGAGAGAGGGGATCCTTTGGCAGTGTCTTTTGTCTCTGCTCATTCAGCATGGGAATCTAATGAACAAGAGGAATACGCCAACACGTGCACACACACTCTTATCTCAGATATACAGACAGGGACGTACCCTAACATACACACACACTCAAAGGAGCTCAACCGTGAACTGAAAGTGGATGGAATAGGGCTGATGTTAGGTTGTTTTCTTCTCTTTTGAGCTGAAGTCAAATCAGCCAACAATGTGACGTGGTAGGTTATGTTAAAGGCAAGCATATTATTCAGTGCGGGGCCATAAATAGCTTAGGCCTTAGGGATGATTGCACAACATATTAGCTAACTGAAAGAAGGACCCAGGATATATCCACATAATATTGAATCATTGAATCCTATTGAAAATGTATAGGTTTTGCACAAGTAATGTAAAAGTAGATGCTTTATAGATGTTAGTGTGTGTGTGTGTGTGTGTGTGTGTGTGTGACTGTGCAGAATGAGGTGTATTGACTAGTGAGACAAAGCAGACATCACTACTGATCTATCCAACAGGTCCTCCTCCCCATCACTGAAACACTGTTGCATGTTAAATGGATCTGCACCATGCTGACTAACATCTAGAAGCTGTTATAGAGGTGTTCCTACACACACACACACACACACACACACACACACACACACACACGCAGACATGCACACTTCTCACACATACACAAACCTGTACAGTGAGGGGAAAATGTATTTGATCCCCTGCTGATTTTGTACGTTTGCCCACTGACAAAGACATGATCAGTCTATAATTTTAATGGTAGGTTTATTTGAACAGTGAGAGACAGAATAACAACAAAAAAATCCAGAAAGATGCATGTCAAAAATGTTATAAATTGATTTGCATTTTAATGACGGAAATAAGTATTTGACCCCTCTGCAAAAATATGACTTAGTACTTGGTGGAAAAACCCTTGTTGGCAATCACAGAGGTCAGACGTTTCTTGTAGTTGGCCACCAGGTTTGCACACATCTCAGGAGGGATTTTGTTCCACTCCTCTTTGCAGATCTTCTCCAAGTCATTAAGGTTTTGAGGCTGACGTTTGGCAACTCGAACCTTCAGCTCCCTCCACAGATTTTCTATGTGATTAAGGTCTGGAGACTGGCTAGGCTACTCCAGGACCTTAATGTGCTTCTTCTTGAGCCGCTCCTTTGTTGACTTGGCCGTGTGTTTTGGGTCATTGTCATGCTGGAATACCCATCCACGACCCATTTTCAATGCCCTGGCTGAGGGAAGTAGGTTCTCACCCAAGATTTGACGGTACATGGCCCCGTCCATCGTCCCTTTGATGCAGTGAAGTTATCCTGTCCCCTTAGCAGAAAAACACCCCCAAAGAATAATGTTTCCACCTCCATGTTTGACGGTGGGGATGGTGTTCTTGGGGTCATAGGCAGCATTCCTCCTCCTCCAAACACGGCGAGTTGAGTTAATGCCAAAGAGCTCAATTTTGGTCTCATTTGACCACAACACTTTCACCCAGTTCTCCTCTGAATCATTCAGATGTTAATTGGCAAACTTCAGACTGTACTTCCCTGTATATGTGCTTTCTTGAGCAGGGGGACCTTGCGGGCGCTGCAGGATTTCAGTCCTTCACGGCGTAGTGTGTTACCAATTGTTTTCTTGGTGACTATGGTCCCAGCTGCCTTGAGATCATTGACAAGATCCTCCCGTGTAGTACAAAATCAGCAGGGGATCAAATACTTTTTTCCCTCACTGTATAAGTCACACACGTACACACAGACATGCACACCACAGCTTATTCTAAGAGAATCAAGATGGAGGCAGTGGCACACATTGCTCCTCCTCTGCCATTTATTGATTCTACGGTCTCAGCTAAACCCTGTGAGAATACACACCCTGCTAATTCACCACGAAGATAAGACACACACAAACACACAGATAGCGGGTGCCAAGGTTAATCATCGACAAGCAGGTGAATGGATGTAGAATCGCAGCCAGCTAGATAACATTGAGCTGAATCAAATCAGTCAACACTGTGACGTGGTAGGTTATGTTAAAGGAAAGCATATTATTCAGTGCAGGGCCATGAATAGCTTAGGCCTTAGGGATGATTGCACAACATATTAGCTAACTGTGAAAGAAGGACCTAGGATATATCCACATGCTTTATAGATGTTGGTGTGAGTTAGTGTGTGTGCATGACTGTGCAGGATGAGGTGTACTGACTAGTGAGACAAGGCAGACATCACTACTGATATATCCAACAGGTCCTCCTCCCTGTCACTGAAACACTGTTGCATGTTAAATGGATCAGCACCACGCTGAGTAACATCTGGAAGCTGTTATAGAGGTGTTCCTACACACACACACACTTCTCACACATACACACACACAAACATGTACAAGGCACACACGTACACACACAGACATGCACGCGCACACACACACATATTTAACAGCTTATTCTAAGAGAATAAGATGGAGGCAGTTGCACACATTGCTCCTCCTCGGCCATTTATTTATTCTACGATCTCAGCTAAGCCCTGTGAGAATACACACCCTGCTAATTCACCACGAAGATAAGACACACACAAACACACAGATAGTGGGTGCCAAGGTTAATCATCGAGGAAGCCGGTGAATGGATGCAGAATGGCAGCCAGCTAGATAACATTGTCTTCCACGCGCACACAAACACACGTTCACCATGACAGTCCTCCTGTCTGACCTAAGTCATAAGCTCCACACCATTTTAGTCTATTATAACAACAGCAGGGAGCTACAGCATTAGATTACCCAGCGCTATGACTCGTATTAACTGTAGCCAGATGGACATATGACAGACAGACCGAACCTCCAACCTCTACTCAAAAGGAAAGGAGGAGGGAGAGGGAGGGGGGGATCATGGCGTACCTCTTTTAGGCAGCTCCTGCAGGGCGATGCTATCCCCTCCCCCGTCGTAGGGTAGATAGGGGTCGGCCTCGGCTGAGATATCATCCATGGTTGACTGACAGTTGGTCGCTAAACTAATGTTAGCTGTCTCACTGCGTGTTAGCTCCTCGTCGCTAGGCTAACTGCTTATCCGGGAGCAGCCTCCATGTTTTCGAACAGTCACGGAGAGACTTGCTGGCTGTGTGGGTGAGCCAAGCCGAGCTAACGCTCTCTTTTTTCCTCCTCCTTCTTTTCCCCTCCCCCTCCTCCTCCTCCTCCTCCTCCTCCGCCTCTTTCCCCTCCCTCCTCCTCCTCCTCCTCTTTCCCCTCCCTCTCCTCTTTCCCCTCCCTCTCTCTCTTTCCCCTCCCTCCCTCTCTCTCTTTTTTCTCCCTCCCTCTCTCTCTTTCTCTCTCTTCACCCTCCCTCTCCACTGCAGCAGCTGACTGCTAAGGAGCCGGTGATGTCATCAGAGGAAAGACGATCGATCGCGCGACGAGCTGCAAGCTTGGTTGGTTGGTTGGTTGCTAGGGGTGACGACTGTCTGAGCCCTAACTGGGCTGGGGGGAGAGGGAGGAGAGATAATGGTTAAGAATGCAGAGTGATCAGGCCAGGCTGGCAGAGCCTATTGAAAGGTGTGCGGGTCGGTCTGTCTGATGCATAATATTAGTACTCGGCCTAATATGTATTAATTAACGAAGAATAAAGGGCTGTGGTATACAGTAGCATTTCAGTACTGTAGTCCTACGCCAATATTGATCTGTATTGAACACTATACAGTCAATGACACTATTAATTTGCTGCCTACCATGCATAACTAATTAATATAGGTATTATTGTTAGAAAAACCTGTTTTTCTGCACAATCATCAATAAATGAGTTCAAGAAAACACAATCTTGCATAGAGAAAGAACAGCGTTTGTACAGACACACACCACTGCAGTACTGCTAAAATCAAATGTCATGAAAGCAAAAGCCACAGCAGGGGAGAGAGAGAAAAAGCCAGAACATGGCATTAGCAACCACCATAAACATGTCAGTGAGACCAGTAGGTAGAGACTGACTCTCTTCTTTACCTTCCCCTTTTCACAAACACTTTCTCTCTCTTTCTCTCTCTCCCAGACACACATACACACAAAGGATATGAAACCATTTGTGAGATTTCAGCTATGTGTCATGTAGCAGTACACTGTCACATTTGGCAATGTGCGTACACCAGTGGAGGCTCCTTAGAGGAGGAAGGGGAGGACAATCCACCTCAGTGAATTTCATAAAAATAAAAATGGTATAACACTGAAAAAGTTATCATTTTTAGATGAAACTATCCTAAATATATTCACGTCACCAAATAATTGATTAAAACAAACTGTTTTGCAATGAAGGTCTACAGTAGCCTCAACAGCACTCTGTAGGGTAGCACCATGGTGTAGCCGGAGGACAGCTAGCTTCAGTCCTCCTCTTGGTACATTGACTTCAATACAAAACCTAGGAGGCTCTTGGTTCTCACCCCCTTCCATAGACTTACACAGTAATTATGACAACTTCCGGAGGACGTCCTCCAACCTATCAGAGCTCTTGCAGCATGAACTGACATGTTGTCCACCCAATCAAAGGATCAGAGAATGAATCTAGTACTGAAAGCATAAACTACAGCTAGCTAGCACTGCAGTGCATAACATGTGGTGAGTAGTTGACTCAAAGAGAGAGAAAGACAATAGTTGCACAGTTTTCAACAAAATAATTTCTTCAAAAATGAAGGAGAAGCAAGAGAGAGAGAGAGAGAGAGAGTGTCTTTTTTCCCCACTTACTTAGCTAGCAAATGCAGCTGGCTAGCTTAGTTACTCAAACACCCGGCTCAAACAGAGGGATGCTATGTTAGCTAGCTGGCTATGACTATCCAACACAACACTGGAACTCTTCCAAGTCAAGGTAAGCTTTTGGTTTTATTAATTTATTGCCACCGGGGCCTGCCACCGGGAATAAAAAAATACCTGAATTTGTCCAATAGAAGCTCTTGTTTGCAACTGTTGGACTAATGATTACACCCTAGATAAGCTAGATGCAGGCAAGAGTGTGCAAGGCAGTATTGAATGTGTCACTGTCTGTCATCTCAAATTTTTCTCTTGAGCTGCGTGCACCTACGTTGAAAACTTTCATTCATAGGCTAGGTTGTAGCAACCTCATGATGGGTATAGGATTTTGGCAATGAGGCCCTTTATCTACTTCCCCAGAGTGAGATGAACTCATGGATACCATTTTTATGTCTCTCCATGCAGTTTGAAGTAAGTAAGAAGTAAGTTGCTAACTAGCGTTAGCGCATTGACTGGAAGACTATGGGTATCTGCTGCAATGACTGGAATTCAAGTCATTGTGGTAGCATGCTAGCAGATACCCATAGACTTCCAGTCATTGCGCTAATGTTAGTTAGCATTGGCTCGCGAAACGACCTCCAACTTCCTTCATACTGCAAACATAGACATAAAAATGGTATCCATGAGTTCATCTGACTCTGGGGAAGAAGATAAAGGGCCTCATTGCCAAACTCCCAATGTATTCCTTTGGTGTTGGCACCATCAAACCAACCAACGAAGCCCCTACCTGGCTTTCAGCACTGCTCCTGTTGCTAGGCGACGATAGCACAGGTGATGACTGTTCAACAGAGCACCCAATTAACATAGCACCAGGGTTCTACAAATCTAGAACTACAACCAGTGATGTTTTAATTCCACTGCTCCAATTTATGTCCCATTCCTCTATTCTAAGCCTGGGTCAGGTAGTTCCATTCTGTGCCACTACAGAACATTCCCACGGCTGCCTGACATAGTACACCACCTCCACCCCCCAACGCACGGGGCATATAAATAGCACCAAACAGACTGACTGACAGGCAGACAGACAGACAGTCAGGCTAACATAAAAACACTGTGTCATGTAGTGTAAAGACAACCCTACAGGAGGAATACTGACAGATACCGGTATTTACACTTCCTGGACTGCCACCAGGCTTATGTTGATTGGACACCAAGCTGCCAAACTGGTTCATGGGAATTTGTCCCTTCACTCCCCTGGGCATGTCTGCGCCCAGTTCCTATATAACATGTAGGCGTGTGTATATGAACCACAGTGGAATGGGCTATGGAAAGTGGAGATCCACCTACAGGCAGCACACCTAGATTCTCTGAGAAAGTTTGTAGAATTGGAGATAATGGAGGCCACTAGGCTTGGGCGGTATACCATATACCAGGGTATTTGGAAATAGCCACGGGATGGTTTTTCAATACCGCCAATACCGTTGAAACTATTTATTTAAAGTTTTTCAATACATGTAAGTATATTTGTAACTACCTTTTAAGTAAATACCTGCAATCAACTTTTTTTTTTGTGGGGGGTGGGGTGGTAGATCAGCTTTAATATTGCAGATAGATTGTGGCTTCCATCAATCTAATTGTCTGCATAATTTCCAATGCCCCATATATTTTTTGCTAAATATATACAGTGCATTCGGAAAGCACCCAGACCCCCCCACCCCGCCACCCTACAGCCCCACTCCAGAATGGATCAAATTAATCCCTTTCCTCATCAATCCACACACAACAAAGCGAAAACAGGCCTCCAGAAATCCCCACAAACGCATCAAAAATTAAAAATAGAAATACTCCATCTACATAAGCACTCAGACCCCCCGCTATGAGTCTTTGAATGATGCTGTGTCTGCATGTATGTATTACAATTATACACTAAAACAGTGTTTACCAATCCTGGTCCTGGGACATCAATGATTACACATTGTAACTATGCAATAGACTAGAACACATGATTTAACTAGTGAAAGGCTGATTTGTAATTCATATGTACAGAACAAGGATTTTTAAAAACAGTACACTTCCTATGCATCATGTAAATACTCTAAAACAGGTTCATCTCAATATCTAATTTCCTTAATCTGCACTGATCTGAGGCCACAGAATTGGTGTAGTATTTCATCAAATGAGAGACTTCATTTCAACCAGTAGAGAATGTGAAGCAATTCCAGTAGATAATGTGAAAAGCTTTATTGAAAGAAGTTCATTATCCAAGTGTTATAAATACATAATACATGCATTATAAATATTATCATTGTAATACTATAATATAAATACAAGTTCAATCTGTACTTCAATGCACATCTGGTGTGCATTATAAAAACAGAGGAAGAAAGATGAGGTGGGGACAGAGGTGTGAGAAAGAGTATAAAAGACAGAAAGGGAAAGAGGTAAGAACCGAGGAGCAGGGAAGGCAGCATATGATAAATGAATTACAGTGCTACTTAACTTCATATTCTCTCAGGTCATCACAATTACATAATAGTGTCTCTAACAGTGTCTCCTAACCATTCTTGGGCCCCCAGTTGGCCAGAGGGTTATCTTAGAGTGGGTGAGGTGGCGATGACGGGACTGGGGGTTGGCATCCTCTCTCACATCAAAACATACCTGCAGGCGTGAGACAGATGGAGAGAGATAGCATGATTAAGCCTTCTGTTTTTTTTATTCTAACACTGTCAGTCATCATAATCATCAGGAGGTGAAATGCAAAACTGACCTTGGATCATTAACTGTGGGACTACTACATCTCAATCTGTATTTTCAATGTAAAGCATCTCTTTAATAATACTTCCTGTTGACCCGACCAAGTGACCTCTCACCTCTGATCATGCTGTGTTAGGCAGTTCAGAAGCGGGAGGGGTTCACCGACACAGCTGATATAACCTAGAGGATTTAGGGAGAAGGGGGGAAATTGTTATTGAGAAAATAAGGTAGTTAATGAGACAGTGTCAACAGGAATCTGTGTGTGTGGCTGCAGAGTACTTTATACTGAAAAACATGCACAGGCACACGAGGACAAACAATATAGCGTAGTTACTTAAATATAAATAATGGAGTATCCTACTATTCTCCATGGTTGGTCCTCTTGCCTATTCTTTGAAGTTGGAAGGAGCCACAGTTATACACCTGAGCCTGCTTACTGCACAACACAATCCATCAATCAAATGGATACAAGAGTGTGTAGGTGTGGGTTGTAGGGTGTCTTATTGTTCTACATTTTTTCAATATGGGTGACTCTTAAAAGAGCCTGTTTTGTTAATGTACAGACATCACCCTTACCTGAACAGCACCCTCACCTGAGAAGTATACATAAAAGGGAGAGAAACTGGGAATTGAATAACTGCAGTTGACATAGCTAAGTAAATGGAAGAATACTCTTATTGCAATGTGGGTGGCTCTTAAAAGAGCCTTTGGTTGTGCATAGTGTAGTATATGGTGTTGCCAGGGAACAGCACCCTCTCCGAAGAAGTAGGAGGTGAAGGCCTCCCCACACGGATTGCCTCCTGTGCTGCATTGCTGGCCCCCATCCTTGCAACATCCTGCAGAGCAGCAGACCTCTCCTCTGGCACACGGCGGCAAGCTGCAGGTCCCCTCCTGGTCCTCGTGTCCATCCTCATGAAGTTATGCAGGATACAGGTAGCCTTCACACACGCCTGAATTCCCCCACGAGGCAGTCCCAGGTGGCCCTGGTCACCCAACCTTGCAGTGCCCTACACGGTAACTGTAGGCAATCGTTTTGAAGGAATCTCCAGTTACAAGGTATCTGTAAGAATATGGAAGAATGTCATTATTAGACTTTTACATCACCAGGTCATTGTGGATTACTAAAGTATAATATCTCTTATAACAAATCATGATAACATTGGATTGATAGATGCATGTGCACACGTGCTTGTGTAGCATGTGACAACAGCAGGTTCATATCAAAGATGGCATCAGAAATGCATGCATAAATACCGTTTGAAGCTTGATGATGAGATGATCATTTGAATCAGCTGTGTAGTGCTAAGACAAAAACAAAAATGTACACCCCTTTGAGTCCCCAGGACCAGGACTGAGAACCACTCCTCATCATCTGCAGACAGGCTTTCACAGCTCTCTGTATTTGAGAACAGAAAACATAATTATACTCCCAATTAGACAGCACTGAATATTATGTTCACTTTTATGCTGATGATACTGCTATTTATTGTTGTGCCCTCTCTCTCATAAAAGCTTTCCAGAACTTGCAAACTTCTTTTTATACTGTTGAACATACCTTGTGTCAATTGAAGCGTATCCTCAATGCTGACAAAACTCAACTAATGGTGTTTTCTAAAGCAAGAAATAGACCTCTGAAACTTTCACCTATTACTACCTGTCAGGGCAATGAGTTTGAGGCTGTAACCTCATATACATTTCTTGGAATTTTAATTGATGAAGGCCTCTCTTTTAAATTGCATATTCAACAACTTACAAAATAATTGAAGCTGAAGTTGCAGATTTATTTCAGGAATAAGGCCTGTTTTTCTTTTGAAGCCAGGAGGAGACTATCAGCTACATTTATGCCTATACTAAACTATGGTGATATTTTATATATGAATGCTCCGCTCAGTGTTTGAGATCAATTGACACCCTTTACCATGGAGCGTTGAGATTTATTTTAAAACTGCAAAACCCTTACGCACCACTGCACTTTATATACAAGGGTTGGCTGGCCTTCTCTAGTCACTCGTAGGCTCAGTCACTGGTATATTTTTTTTATTTACAAAGCCATTTTGGGTTTACTACCATTTTAGTTGGGCATTTTTATTCTTCAGAAATGTGGTGTGTACTCTCTTCGTTCGCAGGACTTTATCCTGCTAACTGTTCCAAATGTTCGAACTGAAGTTGGTAAAGGGGCTTTTATGTACTCTGCGCCATCGGCTTGCAACGCCTTACAAAACAGTTTTAAACTGGAAGAACTTGTCCCGATTGCTGTTTTTATCATTGATGAAGGATTTTGAGGCTGATTCCTTGACCTGTCAATATTTTTCATTTGCTGTTTTATGATTTCGTTATACTCCTGTGATTTCTATGGTTTTTACTAGATTACTTGTTGTCTGTCTGTAATTGTGTAATGACTTGGTGCTGCCTATCTTGGCCAATGAGCCCGTCCTGGATAAATAAAAAATAAAATGTTACTATTATCTCTGTCCTCACTTCTTTCTAAGGACTGGAACTACACAAAAGTACCTGCCCTATTCAGAATAGCCTACTCTCTCCCTTTGACAGTTGGAGCTGCTATCCTTTCACCCTCTTCCATGGCTGTTAGCTAGCTACCTACAAATGCTTTTGGAGTTTGTTTTTTACAATGATAAATAGATCACGATAGCTAGCTAATATTAAGTTAGGTAGCTGGTGATATTTAATTAACTTAGCTAACTAGCTATACAGTCTGTAAAGTTGGCTAGATAGCTAGCTAGCTACGTTAGCAGCTCATTTGAGTTAGCCTCCACTGTAGCTAGTTAGCTAATAATTTATATGTTTTGTACATTTTCAAAACGTATTTACTTACTTCAATAGGTTCTCCCAGCCATGTGGACGATTGGAAACAGGACAGCAAAGTTTGTCACCCGAGCGGTTTAGAGCATATTACTATTTACCTGTGAATAAATTCATGAAGTGGAGAATGGATTAAACTATTTACCCATTTAATAACCAGACCTTATACAAAATTGCTGTGCTGAATTCTTGATGTACAACCGAACTGCTGCCATATGCTGCCAGCACGCCCACTGGCCCACAAGCGAGCCACTCTGGGCAGCGGAAGCAATTTACCGCGTGCTAGTGTACACCGGCCGTTAGGCGGCCGCCTATGGCTGCAGATTGAAGAGGGCGCCATTTTCTGAGCTAAACTGTCCAAGACATACCTCCAACAACATATAAAACCTCACATAATTCTGCCTAAAAACAATGACCATTTCTCTCAACCAATGGTATATGGGCTTTTTAGGTGAGCGCTGATGCCGCCCTGTGATAAGCAGTGCCCACTTTGTCAAAGGCAGGGGCGCAAAATATTTTGCTTGTCCATTCCCAGCGCGCCTCTCCAGTGTGCTGTTGGAGAGACGCATCGCTGCAGCGCTCCACCAACATTTCGTCCAAAAAATATCTAAAACAAATCATGTAGCAAATACAGGATATGGTAGAAGAGTATGTGGCCTTTACTGTAGCCTACAGGCTGGAGATAAAATGTATGACAATGTATTGAGACGGACAATTTTTACATAACGCAGGTTTCTCCGATCAAATAGCCTAACCTAAATGGCGCCCAATCAAATAATAAATGTGCGTCCACGTTAACAAACAACATATCCTAAAAACAGGTCAGGTCAAAGTAAAATGGACAATATGGAATGGACTACCACAACTGTTGTCCAGGAGTTTCACCCCATTGTCATGATCAGTGGTTTCAAGCTTGTATCCGTTCATTTTTGACAAGCTGATCATAGCGAAAAAATAAAATACTTCTGCATTTCCTGCTGTGTAAACACAATGCAAATAAGCTAACGATAACTCCTAAAAAGTTGGGTAGCTGATATTCAGCACTTAAATAGCCAAACTGATTAGTCACAAAGCCAATGCAACAGCCTGTTTTACAAATGATGGGCATTCATAAAATTCCATTGCTGGCTGACATGGTAGGCTACACCCCAGTAAGCATAAGACGTTTCCGGATGTCTTTATTTGGTGTTTTACAAATGGTAGCCTTACCACATAGGTGGGCATTCATAAAATACAATTTCAGGGAACACTGTAGGCTATACCTCAGGAAGCAGGGACCGACGCTGACGCCTTTTGGACATCCTTTTTTGGTGCAGTCCAGACCGGCCTTGAATTCCACATCCATGGACATTGGTTTTTGGTCTGGTCCGGACCAAATCTGAACCAATCATAGTCGTCTATGTTTGCTTCAGATTTGGAGCAGTCCAGACCTGCCTTGATTTCAACGTCCACCGACATAGATTTTTGGTCCGGTCCAAATCTGAACCTATCATAGACGTCTATGTTTGGTTCAGATTTGGTCAGGTCTAGACCAGCCAAATATAGACCTCTATAAATTACGTATTTTCAACTGTAATTCATTACCGAAAATGAATCTGATTTCAACGTCTGTAAAATACGTATTTTTCAACGTCTTTCACGCATTTTCAACGTCCTGGAAAATATTTATTTTAAACGTCCAGAAAATAGATATTTTCACCTTTCATTCAGAACCTAAATTGAACCTAACTTAAATGTCTGAAAAATAAGTATTTTAGACGTCTTTTCAACGTCATTTTGCTTACTGGGACTATACTGTGGGTGCCGTTTTTTGGGCTTGCCTAGGGCGGCAGAAAGGCAAGGACCAGCCTGATACCCCATGACTTATTCAACATTTTGTTGTGTTACAGCCTGAATTCGAAAATGGATTCAATTGATTTTTTTTCTCACCCATCTACACAAAATACCCCATAATGACAAAGTGAAAACATGTTTTTAGAAATGTTTGCTAATTTATTGAAAATGAAATACAGAAATATGTCATTTACATACCGTGTAATTATTCACACCCCTGAGTCAATACATGTTAGAATCACCTTTGGCAGCGATAACAGCTGTGAGTCTTTCTGGTTAAGTCTCTAATACACAGGTCCACAGGTCTCAAACTCATTCCATGGAGGGCTGAGTGTCTGCGGGTTTTCGCTCCTCCCTTGTACTTGATTGATGAATTAAGGTCACTAATTATACTGAACAAAAATATAAAACGCAACATGTAAATTGTTGGTCCCATGTATCATGAGCTGAAATAAAAGATACCAGAAATGTTCCATATGCACAAAAAGCTTATTTCTCTAAAATGTTGTGCACAAATTTGTTTACATCTCTGTTAAGTGAGCATTTCTCTTTTGCCAAGACAATCCATCTACCTGACAGGTGTGGCATATCAAGAAGCTGATTAAACAGCATTATCCTTACACAGGTGCACCTTGTGCTGAGGACAAAATGCCACTCTAAAATGTACAGTTTTGTCACACAACACAATGCCACAGATGTCTCAAGTTTTGAGGGAGCGTGCAATTGGCATGCTGACTGCAGGAATGTCCACCAGAGCTGTTGCCAGAGAATTTGAATGTTAATTTCTCTATCAACGTTGTTTTAGAGAATTTGGCAGTATGTCCAACCGGCCTCACAACCGCAGACCATGTGTAACCACACCAGCCCAGGACCTCCACATCCGGCTTCTTCACCTGCGGGATCATCTGAGACCAGCCACCCAGACAGCTGATGAAACTGTGGGTTTGCACAACCGAATAATTTCTGCACAAACTGTCAGAAACCGTCTCAGGGAAGCTCGTCAGTGTGCTCGTCATCCTCACCAGGGTCTTGACCTGACTGCAGTTTGGCGTCGTAACAGTTTTCAGTGGGCAAATGCTTTTTCGATGGCCACTGGCACGCTGGAGAAGTGTGCTCTTCACGGATGAATCACGGTTTCAACGGTACCTGGCAGATGGCAGACAGTGTGTATGGCATTGTGTGGGTAAACGGTTTGCTGATGTCAACGTTGTGAACAGAGTGCCCCATGGTGGCGGTGGGGTTATGGTATGGGCAGGCATAAGCTACGGACAACGAACACAATAGTATTTTATTGATGGCAATTTGAATGCACAGAGATACCGTGATGAGATCCTGAGGCACATTGTCATGCCATTTATCCACCACCATCACCTCATGTTTCAGCATGATAATGCAAGGACCCATGTCGCAAGGATCTGTACACAATTCCTGGAAGCTGAAAATGTTCCAGTTCTTCCATGGCCTGCATACTCACCAGACATGTCACCCCATTGAGCATGTTTGGGATGCTCTGGATCGACGTGTACGACAGCGCGTTCCAGTTCCCGCCAATATCCAGCAACTTCACACAGCCATTGAAGAGGAGTGGGACAACATTCCACAGGCCACAATCAACAGCCTGATCAACTCTATGCGAAGGAACTGTGTCGCGCTGCATGAGGCAAATGATGGTCACACCATATACTGACTGGTCTTCTGATCCACGCCCCTACCTTTTGTTTTAAAGGTATATGTGACCAACAGATGCATATCTGTATTCCCAGTCATGTGAAACCCATAGATCAGGGCCTAATTTATTTATTTAAATTGACTGATTTCCTTTTATGAACTGTAACTCAGTAAATTGAAATTGTTGCATTTATATTTTGTTCAGTGTAGTAAGGAACTCCACACCTTGTTGTCTAGGGCTTAATTGAAAGGAAAACCAAAAACCTGCAGACACTAGGCCCTCCATGGAATGAGTTTGACACCCCTGCTCTAATAGCTTTGCACACCTGGATTGTACAATATTTGCACATTATAATGTTTTTAATTCTTCAAGCTCTGTGAAGTTGGTTATTCATCATTTTTAGACAGCCATTTTCATGTCTGGCCATAGATTTTCAAGACGGTTTAAGTAAAAACTGTAACTAGGCCACTCAGGAGCATTCAATGTCGTCTTGGTAAGCAACTCCAGTGTGTATTTGGCCTTGTGTTTTAGGTTATTGTCCTGCTGAAAGGTGAATTTGTCTCCCAGTGTCTGTTGGAAAGGAGACTGAACCAGGTTTTCCTCTAGGATTTTGCCTGTGCTTGGCTTCATTACGTTTATTTTTATCATAAAAAAAACTCCCTAGTTCTTGCCGATGACAAGCATACCCATAACATGATGCAGCCACCACCATGCTTGAAAATATGAAGAGTGGTACTCAGTGATGTGTTATGTTGGATTTGCCCCAAACATAACGGTTTGTATTCAGGACATAAAGTTAATTTCTTCACCACATTTTTGCAGTTTTACTTTAATACCTTATTGTAAACATGATGCATGTTTTAGAATATTTTATTCTGTACAGGCTTCCTTCTTTTCACTATGTCAATTAGGTTAGTATTGTGGAGTAACTACAATGTTGTTGATCCATCCTCAGTTTCTCCTATCACAGCCATTAAACTCTGTAACTGTTTTAATGTCACCATTGGCCTTATGGTGAAATCCCTGAGCGGTTTACTTATTTTCTGGCAACTGAGTTAGGAAGGACGCCTGTTTCTTTGTAGTGACTGGGTGTCTTGATACACCATCCAAAGTGTTTGTCTTTTTTTGTTTGTTTCTTTTACCCATCTACCAATAGGTGCCCTTCTTTGCGAGGCATTGGAAAACCTCCCTGGTCTTTGTGGTTGAATCTGTGTTTGAAATTCACTGCTCGACTGTGGGACATTACAGATAATTATATGTGTGGGGTACAGAGATGAGGTAGTCGTTCAAAAATCATGTTAAACAGTCCATGCAACTTATTATGTGACTTGTTAAGCACATTTTTACTCCTGAACGTATTTAGGCTTGCCATAACAAAGGGATTGAATACTTGACTTAAGACATTTCAGCTTTTCATTTTTAATTAATTTGTAAAAATTCAAAAACATAATTACACTTTGATAGGTGTGTAGGTCAGTGACAAAAAAAAATCTAAATTTAATACATTTTAAATTAAGGCTGTAACACAACAAAAAGTCATGGGGTGTGAATACTTTCTGAAGGCACTCTATGTATAACTTTTTGTGTAGGTTTGCCTGTCTTTGCAATTAGTTTATTTTTCTTTGTGCTCGTTAGCATATTTAGCTAGCAGCCTCTATAAAAATGTATGTGCTAGTCCTTGTGCTAATTTTGTTAGCATTTTGGTAATAGACACCTAATGGGCTTTTTCTTGCGATTTTAGCGCAAAAAACGGTAATACCAGTAATACCGTAAATCCCGGGATGAGAGAAGGCCAGTATGACGATATGAAAATCTGGATACCGCCCAACCCTAGAGGCCACTGAATGAGCAGAGATTACTGAGAGTGACCTTGTAAGTAACCCAATACCAGCCAAAATGCACACACACGCACACAATGGCCCGCCTTGGCCTGCTTTCTCTGTGTGTCCTACTGAACAAAGCATGGTCACCCTCACTGGAGCGCGACTATACAGCCAGTCTTCACTGGGTCATTCATTATTAATATGACGGGTCTGCTCTGCCTCTGTCTGGTCTGGTCTCCTTAAGTGTAGGACACACAGCAGTTACACTAAACAACATATTCACATGGCCCAAGTCAAGTTATGACAGGTAAGAGCACAATTTCAACCTTAACATTCCTAGATACATATTGCTTGGTGTGAGGACTCCTGGCAATAACTAATGTAGTCTAAACATGCCCTGAGGCTGAATCAATGCAGCATGAAGACATTATGAGCCTTTTACACTAGGCCTACATGACAAAGTATTTACATTCACTCACCTGGTTTCCCAGCCGTTTCTGCACTCAACAGCTACATCCGTTCATTGCCTTGCTTGGAAATACGACAACAAGTCAGCTAATTAAATAAGCAGAAACAGACTGGCGCTCAGGCAGACTACAGGGGCTAGGCTACATACCGATATTCACATGGTGGTAAAGAAGGCTAGTCATGGGACCATGCCCTGAAGGGGGCCGTCTTGGCTTCTGTACTCAAGACGTTTTTATTGTCCCATTATTAATAATATACTATAATAGCGTGTTACTACAGTATTGGCAGTAATGTTAGTGCCTGTCCACTCTATGGTTACACATCTTTATTGACTTCTGAAGTTTAGCCCAAGGTGTATTTGTATTTGTATTTATTAAGGATCCCCATTAGCTGCTGCAAAAGCAGCAGCTACTCTTCCTGGGGTCCAGCAACATTAAGGCAGTTATATACAATTTAAAATATTACATAAGTGTGTTCCCTCAGGCCACTACTCTACTATCACATATCTACACCACAAAATCCATGTGTACGTGTGTGTAGAGTGCATGTCTTATGTGTATGTGTGTCTGTGCCTGTGTGTGTGTCTCTTCACAGTCCCCGCTGTTCCATAAGGTGTAATAATAATATAATATGCCATTTAGCAGACGCTTTTATCCAAAGCGACTTACAGTCATGCGTGCATACATTTTTTGTGTGTATTTTTATCTGTTTTTTAAATCTGATTCTACTGCTTGCATTAGTTACCTGATGTGGAATAGAGTTCCATGTAGCCATGGCTCTATGTAGTACTGCAAGCCTCCCATAGTCTGTTCTTGATTTGGGGATTGTGAAGAGACCTTTGGTGGCATGTCTTGTGGAGTATGCATGGGTGTCCAAGCTGTGTGCTAGTAGTTTAAAACAGACACCTCGGTGCATTCAGCATGTCAACACTTCTTACAAAAACAAGTAGTGATGAAGTCAATCTCTCCTCCACTTTGAGCTATGAGAGATTTACATGCATATTATTAATGTTAGCTCTCTGTGTACATTTAAGGGCCGCCATGCTGCCCTGTTCTGAGCCAATTGTAATTTTCCGAGGTCCCTCTTTGTGGCACCTGACCACACGACTGAACAGAGCCTGTAGGACCTGCCTTGTTGATAGTGTTGTTAAAAAGGCAGAGTAGCGCTTTATTATGGACAGACTTCTCCCCATCTTAGCTACTGTTGTATCAACATGTTTTGACCATGACAGTTTACAATCCAGGGTTGCTCCAAGCAGTTTAGTCAACTCAACTTGCTCAATTTCCACATTATTTATTATAAGGTTAAGGGTTTAGTGAATGATTAATCCCAAATACAATGCTTTTAGTTTTGGAAATATTTAGGACTATCTTATTCCTTGCCACCCATTCTGAAACTAACTGTAGCTCTTTGTTAAGTGTTGCAGTGATTTAACTCGCTGTAATAGCTGACGTGTATAGTGTTGAGTCATTCGCATACATAGACACTCCGGCTTTACTCAAAGCCAGTGGCATGTCATTAGTAAATATTGAAATAACTAAGGGGCCTAGACAGCTGCCTTGGGGAATTCCTGATTCTACCTGGATTATGGTGGAGAGGCTTCCATTAAAGAACACCCACTGTGTTCTGTTAGACAGGTAACTCTTTATCCACAATATAGCAGGGGGTGTAAAGCCATACCACATACTTTTTTCCATCAGCAGACTATGATCGATAATGTCAAAAGCCGTACTGAAGTCTAACAAAACAGCTCCCACAATCTTTTTTTCATCAATTTCTCTCAGCCAATCATCAGCCATTTGTATAAGTGCCGTGCTTGTTGAATGTCCTTCCCTATAAGCGTGCTGAAAGTCTGTTGTCAATTTGTTTACAGTAAAATAGCATTGTATCTGGTCAAACACAATTTTTTCCAAAAGTTTACTACGGGTTGGTAACAAGCTGATTGGTCGGCTATTTGAGCCAGTAAAGGGGGCTTTACTATTCTTGGGTAGCGGAATTACTTTTGCTTCCCTTCAGGCCTGAGGGCACACACTTTCTAGTAGGCTTAGATTGAAGATATGGCAAATAGGAGTGGCAATATCGTCCGCTATTATCCTCAGTAATTTTCCATCCAAGTTGTCAGACCCCGGTGGCTTGTCATTGTTGATAGACAACAATAATATTTTCACTTCTTCCACAAGCACTTTACGGAATTCAAAGTTACAATGCTGGTCTTTCATAATTTGATCAGCTATACTTGGATGTGTCGTGTCAGCGTTTGTTGCTGGCATGTCATGCCTAAGTTTGCTAATCTAGCCAATGAAAAAATTATTAAAGTAGATGAGCTTAATAGGAGACAATTTCCCCTTTAAATCAGCAACTCATAGTACTGCATTCACATGGGTGTGCACACACACACACACACGAGGAGCTCTGTGCTTGTATACAACACTGCAGAGACAAGGAGGATAAGGAGAGGATTGTGCAGCAGAGAGTATACATGTCAAGCACTCTCTTCGTGCCCTTAAACGCAACTTAAAGTAAGCTCTGGTAATGAAAAAGAACAACTACTTTAGAATATTATTACGTCTCATCAGACTCAATCAGACAAAAGGCTCTCCTTATTTGGCTTTTCTTGGGCTTTACTTACATCCATGGTTTGATAAATTTACTTTAATACCGGTAATCCGTTTGTAAATCTTCTCTCAGAAATGCACGTACACAAACACACATCCAAAAGTTCAAACTCACTTAAAATTGTCATCAAAGAGAGTAAGCCAAGAAGTGCTACCTCAGCATGAGCGAGCTTCTGCCACACGCACACAAATAAATGTATTAAGTAGCTTTCGACTAAGGAGCATTTCAAAGACCTTCAGATCCTGCAAGCTTCCCTAATTACTATTCACAGTCACTGCAGCCAACAGTGACTAGCCATATTGAACATCATATCAGTTATAGGAGGGACTTCTTTCTCTTTTGATCAGCTACAAGCAGGCCAAGTTAGAGGAGCCTGCAGAAGCCAGCGTAACTTTGGTAACAAGACATGAATCAGCAGGACAAGCATCAGGCCAGCAGGCAGCAACAGGAAACAAGCAGGATGTGGCAATAGTAGACACGGGACACCTGCTATGACGGAGAAGCGTACACTGGGCCAGGGAAGCAGGAGGGGTGTGTAAGGAGCAGGTGATTTGGTACAGGACTGACAGATATGGAGCATCGGTTGGTACAGGAACAATGTGAAGGATGCCTTTATGTCTACATCATAGTGATGAGTGGAATACCATCAGCCACACCTACAAAGAACGGGTTCAATCACACAGCTGCATAGTACAATCCACAACTAAAAAAAGCACTAAATAATCAAATCCACACCCACAAAGCAAGAAGTGTACAGTTCAAGTGTCCAATCACAAAGCCGCATGGTACAAGCCACACCTAGAAAAGTAGCAAAGGTCAAAAGCAGCACAACCACAAAAGCTGCATGGTGTAAAACCACAAGTCACGACCACAAAGTAAACAGGAACAAGCATCATGAATGGAGAAGTGAATGTGGTACATGGATGGCGATGGCAGGGAAAGTAAGAAAATAAAACAAGGTTACAGGAATGGACATAGTCTGGTCCCAGATCTGTTTCTTTGTGCTGTATTTGCCAGCTCCTATGGCTTTTGTCATACAAAAACATGTTGGTTGATTTGGGACCGGGCTAGTATGAACAAGGCTGCAAGCACAAAACAAACACAAAAACAAGATGGCGGCAGCCGGCCGGGAGGGTAATCCAACCAATCACGGTTATGGATTTATGGATAGAGGTGACAGGTATGAATGGGAGTGAAACTGAAGTCAAGAGGTGGCAGGCAGGAGACATTTGATGGAGGGTGTGGTTTGGGGTGTCATGGATAGATGGAGGGTTGATGGCCACGTGTCGGGGGCAGAAAGAAGCAGGGAGCATCAACAGTAGGGCTCACAACAGCAGGGGTAACACTGCAAATCACAGGGTAGCAAGGGGACCAAGTGGGCGAGGCAGCATTGAGTGGGTGGATCAGCAATGCAGCAAATTTGGCAAGGCGGCCAGGATAGGAAGCTCACAACAACACAGCTCACAACATCCATCCATGGATAGTCCCACAGCTTCTGGCATGGAACAGACCCTCTTCATCTGACCAAAATAACCCAGCCAGAGCCTTTCTCCCCTGGGGTCAACAGCCCAGCGCCATGGAGGGTGATAGTGGGTGTCTGAAGGCGTAGTCGGCAGCGATTAGCAGTGAGCCTACCTGGGGAGGTGGCGTCTCCGTCCAGAAGGTTGTCGTCCTCGGAGGTGTGGAAGTCCATGACGACCCCGGTGCCATCCAGCAGCTCCTCGTCGCTGCTGGCGCTGGCAATGCTGTTGTAGCTGTTCCTGTAGTAGCCCTTCCTGTTGAAGAGCTGCTCCGACTCCATTTAGCTACGCGCTACGCAGGCAGTGCCCTGCGTGGGAACACACACACACACACACTCTCAAATCACAGGGCTGGGCACTGGAGATGCTGTTATAGCTGTTTCTGTGGTAGCCCCCGTTGAACTTGAGCTGCTGGAAAACACACCAAGTCACATACACTCAGGCAGACTGGAAAGTCCACAGCCCAGCCCGGCTGTAACCAGAAGGTGGAATTATGTGTTGGTAAGGTTTCCGTTTCAGTATTGTTCTGACTCCGAACCTCTTACCAGCCTTGCGGCAGGGTTGTTTCTGGTTGGTGGTGGAGGATGGAAAGAAGGGCGGAAGAAGGGATAGGAAGGAAGGAGGGGGGGTCATTAGGACACATGATGAGTGTGAGATGTCAGACCCAGACACTTCACTAAAGAGGAAGATGGAGGTGGCAGAGAAGTAGCAGTAAACTCATCGGCTGTGTCCCTCTACTGTCAGTATGGAGGACTGTGATGATGGAGGACCCTGGTGGTGAACATCCTCAGGCCCATGCTATGAAAAATGTCGATCATTATTTCTGTCTGTCTGGTTGTCGGAGTGTGTGCTAGATAGGAATCATAAGTCTGTATGCCCTGCACAACACCTCTGTCTGAATCTGAAATTGGACTGTTTGGTGCACACTCTGTGGGAGATATCGATTCCTATTGGAAATCATTTTGTTTACCTCTCCAGTCCATCAGGAATGTGGGTCATTTTTACTGCATCCGTTTTGAGGAATTACATATATACAAACTATTTTATGTGTGGGAAGAACCAGCCAGGAGTGTTTAGGCCTATTTTTTGTTTGGGGATTAGGATGAACAGAGTGACACACACATGAACAGGAGTGGATACATCCTCCCCACTGTGGCTTGATGTGATGCTGACTTAGAACACAATAGTAGAACACACTAACCTTACTATTTTCCCCCTAGTTGAAGCAGGGGCAAACAAAACCTACAAGACCAGAAACATAGAGTACAGGGGGGATACACCAAAATCTTTGCTATATCAAAGAAGATGGGCTAGCTCAGGGGCTTAGGTGGTGGGCGTGGCAGGTTGGCGCGGTCGGCCCATTGGCACGGCTGAAATGTAGGCGGGTAGACATATTTCTGCATTTTTAAGCCATTTTCCTGCAATTCTACACATTTTGCCATGCAGCTGAGAGAAAATGTTGTAGTTTTAAAGAAAATGTCCTGCAATTCTACATATTCTGCCATGGAGCTGAGAAAACATTTGGCAGTTTTAAAGCCAATTTCCTGCAATTCTATGCATTTTGCCATGGCTAATGCTGTGTTCTTTTGCTCAAACATAATAACAAAATCTATATTGCTAAATTCATTGTTTTTGGAATTTTCAATTCTCCCTGACAGCTTTTATTTAGGTGATTGTTAGTACTCAAAGATGATATTATTTGAAAATATATGCCCATGATCTTTTCTACATACTTTATATTTGGTTTTAGTCGTTTAAGTTAACACTGAAAGCGTTCTTTCCATCCCAAAAATGCATTTCACTGTTTGAACTTAGGCAACCTGAAAAAAACGCTTAGGTGGCCCATCCGAGAATTTCAATGGCAGAAAAATCCCTGCTAGCTACTATGACTGTGAATAAGCGGGTTAATGATTATTCTAACAATGGTTTCTGGTCTTACCTAGCAAGAGGTGATTTTAAAAAAAGCTAGCCCTATGAGATGAAATGGAAGCAGGTTGAGCTAATGATATGTCTGAATCACATAGAGTAACTTAATATAACCGTGCATCATCATCATCATCATACTATCCAGACCCAGAGCGATGAGAACTAAATGAATCCTAGAGTTAACCGTACTAAATCAAATGGCAGGCAGCAATTGATTTCATCTATATATGAGTCACCAACTTACAGCCAGAGAGCTGTACATGTCATGAGCCCATTATATAGGGATATCGTTTCTACTTTCGAGTAACAGACTGTAGGCCGTATCCTCTATTGAATTCACTGCTCTGATAACTTATTTTAGACTGTCTGGCAGTGGTATCACTGACTCTTATGGGGAGATTATGAATTCTCCCAGAGTCCATGGATAGTGTAGTATAAGTATCCTCTCTCTGCAGAGAAATGGAAGTCCCACAAGTCATGAGCTCATTATGACAGGAAGAAATAGAGTCAAAACCCTCCTAGGCTTAATCCCGTTCATTTACACTCATCAACATTCAACAATGAAAGCAAAAGGACAAAGACATGATAGTGTCACTGATGTCACTACAGCTTATGTTTCATTCAAGTATAGGAATCTTGCAGACGTAGCTCTGTGACCACTACAATGTGAGACAGACACGCATCTTGTTATATCAACATTTTCTCATATTTCCCCCCAATCCTAAACAGCACATCCCTAGGTGTCTATGGAAGAGAAAATCTAGAGTCTAGATCTAAAGTCTAGAGAGCCTACATTTCATTAGCCTGATCTCTTAACGTTACATACAGTAACTAACTCTTCATGCCATAGACCAACAGACTGGACTGGACCACTAGGCTAACAATTTCCCCTCTCACCTTGAATAAAGAAATCCCTTTGAGCTGTATTAAATCAAAGCAGGAAATTCTATTCTGTTTGTTTTTAGAAGGAATACCAACAAGTCCAAGAGCGCACTTGTTCTTGGTTAACAAGTGTGAGCCTTTTTCAACCTCCATCTTGGCTCCGGTTGCTGCGGTCATGAGCTTGCTAGGCCCAGTGCCCACCAAGCTGTGAACACACACAGCAGGAGTCTCAACTCTCAAGAAGACAAAAACTTAAGATGACCTAGGTCATTCCGTGTGAAAATTGAACAAAAATGGCAATTAGAATGTTGTATTCTCTGAATTGTGGTACAAAGAAATGGTAGGCTATTTGAAGGAAAGATCTTTGACATTTACAGAATAACCCATCAGGAGTTTGAACAGTCTGTCTGTTCCCACCCAGTCTGGAGAAGTGTCTACTCTGTTCCTCTGTTCTCTCACTTCTTCTCTACAAGGTTGAGGTGAAGCCGTGAACGTTTTGGTAAAACTACACGACCACCATCCTTCAGCACAGACGAGGATAAAGTGGGTTTATTTAGCCCAATTAGTGAACTGAACACCCCCAGGGGAGTCTCAGAACCAGCCTGACGTGACCAACCAAAAGGGTGTGAAATTATCAATCTTAAATAGGCTAAGCATTGTTATAGACTGCAACAGATATCCGATACATGAAGTTGCTTACTGCACAGCAAGGCGAAGCTTTTGATGAGGAATGATACAAATAGGCTGAACTTGAGAGGGATATTACTTTATAAAAGAGCTCCTACAAAGGATACATGATCCCTATCAATTTTCACTCGGACATTTGAGAATATGGAGGAGAATAGATGTGTTTGAATGATGGGAAAACGATCCAGGCCTGGCAGTGACAGTTACACAACTTATTAGAGCCGGGATGATACCAGTATCGCAATATTTTTTTACATGGCAAAAATGAAAACACAAAGCAGGTCAAACTCTTTGGTCCTTTAAAAACCTGCTGAATGTTAAATAGTGTGTGCTTTAGCTTGGGAAATAAACAAATGTGACTCTGGATGACAATATAATGATGTTTGTTTCCAACATTACAGGTTGTTTTCCTAAAGAAGTTAAATCCGCTTCGTGTTTTGTTTCCTTGCCACGATACTAACGAGTATTGCGATACTGGTATCGTCCCGGCACCACAACTTATAGAGTAGGAGAGAGAGCGGGCCTCTTCTTTCAGTAGTCAAGGACCTAGATGTTGCCAGGGGAGACTGTTGCTGGGATATGACACAGCGTTTTGCCCGCCCCTCAGTGATATGATCACACCTCCTGTAAAGCAGCGTCACCACTGCCAACACTACAGGTTGACACACCTCCAAATAAGAAATAAAAGCAATAAATAATTTAATATACTACTATTTTTCAATTACAGTTGCACTCTACATTACCTCCACCACTTATACACCTCAACTACGTCAATCCCCAATCCTACCTACTGTCATAATCCATTTACTAGGGTGTAGTAATGCAATAATGTTTAACTGAAAGTTGTGAAAAACCTCAAACAAAAACGTTTTTTTTACGCTCTCTAAGCTTCCATTATGCTGCACATTATAGGAATCAGACCATGGTGAAGCACCCTCCTCAAACAGTTGTGTCTATCCCTAAGCAGAAAGACCTATAGCCCCAAAAGGAGACTTACTAGCACATCGAAAGACATAGCGGAAGAGGTTACTTTCTGAGCTGATCAAGCAAAAAAAAATGTTGGCTAAGTCTTGACAAATATACCAGACCAGTGCCATCTATAAGCAACAGGGAAGGAAGTGTTATGGGGGGGAAATGATGATTCTTGAATATGATATCAGCACTGTCACAGATGGAACACAGAATATGGACATGAATATTGTCTCTAAAATACTATGAATACCTGGCACCTAAATAATAAAAAGTGTACTGGCGCGGAAAGCTAAGAGTATGTCTTTTTGGGAAATTAAGGCATAGATATATTTTTCATCTTACAAATGTGGATTAAGTAATGGCTTTGATTTCTGAGGGAGGAAAATGAAAGTTCACAGAAGTAACAAGTAAAGGTAGACCTACCAATTAGTTAGTGTTTTTACTGATAAACATTTTTATCCTGTTGCTCATATAAAGGCCAATGCATGCCCCATTCACCCTAGCAACTTGCTTTATGTATCACACAGCTCATACATTCCATTCAGATGGTTATGATATGGTAATTATCACGTGATACATAGGACTATGTATTGGGTGTATGTATGGAAGAGAAAATAAATATCACTCTATGCAATATTTCCATATACATTTATGCCATAAAAACTGCATGCAATATCATGGTGCCATGACATTGTTGGTAGCTAGCTAGCTACCAACAATGTAGCTAGGGGTTTCTGGCAGTAGCTAGGGGTTTCTGGATGATACAACGAACGTTACAGCTGACACCATCCTACATTTATCATACAAGATGCAG